ATTATTTGGTTTATATGCAATAAAGTTGTTGTTCGAAAACATACTAGCATCCATTTCTATTTAAAAAATACGATTCCTATTCAATAAACTTCTCATCTTATTACATAATTTTATCGCTATGATCTCATATGCGATGTTGTTTTCTTTTTTTCAATAATTGCCATGATTGCATTTTGGGAAATATGACAATTTAAACTAGAATTGGTTGAAAACTCAATTAAATAGGAATGTAAATTTTCACATTATTATCAAATATAAATCATTCTATCACATATATTGACAAAACAAAATTTGAAAATTTTGGGAATAAGGCACAAGTCTTCTCTCTTTAAGACTTAGAGACTAGGGATCAGCATAGATTAAGCTGTTGCTGTTTAATATTAAATAAACGTGTTTCGTTTTATACATTGATGGAGTAATTATAAAGGATTTAGTTATTCAGAATGCTAATTTAATTATTTGATTATGTCGCGTATCAATTGTTGACAAAGATATACAATATGTTTCAATATAAAGTACATGTAGATCCTAATTGAAGACTTCAAGGCAATGTAACGTCTCATCAATTACGGAACATTAAAAAATATTAATACAAGTTGTAGTATTTTTTTTTTCAGAAACATCAAGTCATATTCTATATTATCTTTAACTGAGAAATCAATACTACATGTATTTCTGTTTTTACAAAAAATTATCTCCATTTTAACAATTGTTCTATGAGAAAACCAGGCAGGGGGGGACCGATGTCACTCATGTTTCCTCCGATACTATTTTGTGACTTTTAATGGACTTTTAAGCTCGAATACTGTTCGTTACCTCCACATGTGTCATTCAATTGCCTTATTGCACAACCTTTATAAGCATAATTGCATAACCCTTATAAATATGGACTAGAGAACTTCAATCTTATTAAAGTCAGACTTCATAGATCCACGCAAAGTAATCTAAGAAGTCTGATTTAAATTATATAAAATATTCAATCTCAAAGTCCATAAAACAATACAAAATATATAGGAGCAGAGCAAAGACAGACCTCCGAAACATGAAAAATGGGATCAGGAGCCATGGAGGAGTAAGCAATTAATTGTCTTAACCCCAAATTAAATTGAAAGGTTCAGGTATTATTTACAAAAAAAATTAACTGAAAGCAGAAGAAAAACTAGAGAATTATACTTTTTTTTTTCAAAAAAAGACATATACAAGTTCCATGACACATCAAATATGAAAGCTCATTTATCATGATATATACGAAATGATGAAAGATCAGCAATCTTAGGAAGTTAAGGTCGAATCATATTTTTAAAATGTTTTTAAAAATTGAAAGAGTTTGGTATTTTGCAGAACCTTATAAAAGTGTTTGGACACAGATTTAATGTTAATATTAATATTTTGTCAAATTTACTTATTCATATCAAGATTTATGTGTTGCAATAGCATTTCACCTGGTAATATAAAAATGAACTTATTCAATCTGGGTATTATTAAAAATATGACTTTCGGGACGTATTTGATTTACACATCTTACACTAGCAAAACTTTATCCATGATATGTAAGAAAAATAGAAATGATGTTGTCTATTAGTAAGAAATATTTATACTGTAATCCAGAAAATTTAATATAATGTTAAAATTTGTATTCTGCATAGGAAATGCATTTTTGTCCAAAAAAAATTGTTTGGGTACGATCTTTGACAGAGTTATGCCTCTTGGAGTTCATCTGCAGTTTCCGTTCATTTCATTATGAGATTCAGAATACAGATTCATCATAACAATTTAGGTTCGAAGAAGGAATGGCGTTATTTGCCTCTTCGATTTAGAAATAATTCCATTCATGGGGGAGGAGGGGTACCTTTTTGATAAATATCTCTTGTTTGGCATGAATTTTGTATGCGCAGATTGCTAGTTGTAAATCAATTCAGTAGACAGTTTGTAATTTAAATATACAACTTTAACAAAACATACAAAATTGCTACTTTTCTGAAGTATTAAGAATGAAGTAAAATTTTGTGAAAGTGCAAGGATGTGTTAATCTAAATCGTCACGAAATTCATAGATTAAAAAAATTTCCAGGGAATTTTTCTATGGAATGCTTTATCAACGTGTACGTCGTGATATTATACAGAACATTTGAGAAAATATTAAGTTACATCCGTGGCTAAGCACCTTAAAGAACCTATGAAATTTTACTTGTATTTTATAATTTGTCTAGATTTCATGTATCAACCTGTGTTCTATGTGCTTTTCCTGAATCCTGAATTCAAACAGACTAACAAAAGTTTGGTCACGTCCTCGTTAAAAGGGCGATAATCAGAAATCGTGAAAATGTGGTAGTATCTTTTAAAATCTTTTCAAAAACCATTGGCCACAAGAGTTTAACTTGTAAGAAACCTTCTTTACATAGTGCACATTTAAGTTTGTTCTGAAAATGATGAACCAATGGTTAGGGTGAAAACAGAACAAAAAAAATACTATAGATAACTATAGTAAATCAAAGTGTCAAAGTTTTCGCCAAAGTTTTTCAAAGTGTCAAAGTTTTCGTCAAAGTTTTTCAAAGTGTCAAAGTTTTCGATAAAGTTTTTCAAAGTGTCAAAGTTTTCGTCAAAGTTTTTCAAAGTGTCAAAGTTTTCGATAAAGTTTTTCAAAGTGTCAAAGTTTTCACCAAAGTTTTTCAAAGTGTCAAAGTTTTCGCCAAAGTTTTTCAAAGTTTCAAAGTTTTAGTCAATGTTTTCAAAGTTTCAAAGTTTTAGTCAAAGTTTTTCAAAGTATAAAAGTTTTCGATAAAGTTTTTCAAAGTATAAAAGTTTTCGATAAAGTTTTTCAAAGTATAAAAGTTTTCGATAAAGTTTTTCAAAGTTTCAAAGTTTTCGATTAAGTTTTTCAAAGTGTAAGAGTTTTCGAAGTTTTTTTTTTCAAAGTATCAAAGTTTTTTATAAAGTTTTTTGAAGTGTCATAGTTTTCGATAAAGTTTTTCTAAGTATTCAAGTGTTCGATTGTTTCAAAGTGTAAAACTTTTGTATAAAGTTTTTCGAAGTGTCAAAGTTTTCAATAAAGTTTTTCAAAGTATCCAAGTATCAAAGTTTTCAATAAAGTTTTTCAAAGTGTCAATGCTTTCGATAAAGTTTTTCAAGGTATCAAAGTTTACGATAAACTTTTTCTCTAAGTATCAAAGTATTCAATAAAGTTTTTCAAAGTGTCAAAGCTTTCGTCAAAGTTTTTCAAAGTGTCAAAGTTTTAGTCAATGTTTTCAAAGTGTCAAAGTTTTCGCCAAAGTTTTTCAAAGTATAAAAGTTTTCGATAAAGTTTTTCAAAGTTTCAAAGTTTTCGATTAAGTTTTTCGAAGTGTAAGAGTTTTCGAAGTTTTTTTTTCAAAGTATCAAAGTTTTTTATAAAGTTTTTTGAAGTGTCATAGTTTTCGATAAAGTTTTTCTAAGTATTCAAGTTTTCGATTGTTTCAAAGTGTAAAACTTTTGTATAAAGTTTTTCAAAGTATCCAAGTATCAAAGTTTTCAATAAAGTTTTTCAAAGTGTCAATGCTTTCGATAAAGTTTTTCAAGGTATCAAAGTTTACGATAAACTTTTTCTCTCAGTATCAAAGTATTCAATAAAGTTTTTCAAAGTGTCAAAGCTTTCGTCAAAGTTTTTCAAAGTGTCAAAGTTTTCGATAAAGTTTTACAAAGTGTCAAAGTTTTCCTCAAAGTTTTTCAAAGTGTCAAAGTTTTCGCCAAAGTTTTTCAAAGTGTCAAAGTTTTCGATAAAGTTTTACAAAGTGTCAAAGTTTTCGTCAAAGTTTTTCAAAGTGTCAAAGTTTTCGTCAAAGTTTTTCATAGTTTCAAAGTTTTAGTCAAAGTTTTTCAAAGTGTCAAAGTTTTTGTCAAAGTTTTTCAAAGTGTCAAAGTTTTTGTTAAAGTTTTTCAAAGTGTCAAAGTTTTCGTCAAAGTTTTTCAAAGTGTCAAATTTATCACTATAGTAAATCAAAGTTCTCAAAGTGTCAAATTTATCACTACAGTTAACTATAGTTAACTATAGTATTTTTTTGTTAGGGAGGTCACAATTAGTGATTAATTAATGTTTTATAAAGCAACAAATAGGAAAAAATCTTGAAATTTCGTCTTACGAAGAGATCAATGATTGATTATATAAATAAGATAGAATCCTCGGATAACTTATATTCAAATCCGTTCAAGTGATGACATTCGACTTATGACGAGGCTACTAATGGGAATCAAATCTTCGGATTTCTTTTCTATACATGAAAAACCTTCTTCTCAAGAACAGCAAAGCTATGATTGGTCATAATGATATGGAAGCATCCCCAGAAAGTGTTGATTTTGATTTGTTCATATGATGACCCCGGGGTAGAGTAGGGTCAAATGGAGGATCAGTCTTACATAGCAATTTATAGGAAATATTTCCCACGTGCATTTCGTGGCAGGTATGTTTACTGTCGATTTTCTTTCTTAAAAGCCGCATAAGGCATATTTTTTCTGCTTTCAAATTTTTGTATAAGCATTTATCTTTATTTTCTCTTTCATGAATTTTCTGTTGAGAGTCTAATAAATTAAATAATTTAATTCAAGCTTTATAGTAATATATAGTGAAATTATATCCTTGTGTGAGACCTAAAAGAATATTTTAAAAAATGATTGCTCAGGAAAAGCTTATCCATGACTGATAATTATATGGACGATTTCAAAGGTGTTACATCTACTTTTGTCCCCAGGTGGTCCAGGAAACTTGTTAAATGAAGTTGTAGTAAATGAAAGTTATTTTTCATGAAAGTATCCGTCAAAATTGATATAAAGTACATCCAACTTGTGTAAAACAACATGCATAACATCAATCAATCGTGAAAGTGTTCAAAAATAACTTTTAATTAAAAAATCTTTTCGATCAGAATGATCAAGATCAAGTTCACAGATTTACAAATTCCGAGAAAAACGTATACAAATGTTAGTGTATTTATTGCATTATCCCTCTGATTCTGTGGTTGAAACCCCGCCCTAAAGAAGAAACGGAATCAGAGCCTTTCTGTCTTTTGGATAATCCTCAAATTTCTCCAGATAAAATCTACAAAATTAATAAAATTGAATAAACCAAGCCATCACTGGTGTGAGTAAGGTGAAATTGAAAAATTGCTTTTATTGCTGAAGTAAAATGATGTAAGTAAGCTCAATGCCATAAAAAATTTAACTTCTCTATTCTTTTTGAAATGACGTTTTTCTATTATTCAGTATATATCACTGTGATGATGGAGAGCCCTAGGGCCGATATTACACAGTGTGAAGATAGCAGAGGCTAGAGAGGGGAGATTAAAACACGCCACAGAAAAACAGATCCACTCCACTTTTTCTCCAAGGAAGTTAGCACCAGAGACGTACTCAATTAGAAATCCTAGGGATAAAAATAAAAGTAAGCACCAGAGGTGTACTTGAATAGAAATCCTAAGGATAAAAATAAATGATAGCACCAGAGACGTACTCGCGTAGAAATCCTAGGGATGAAAATAAAAGTTAGCACCAGAGACGTACTCGAAAAGAAATTCTAGGGATAAAAGTTAAAGTCAGCATCAGAGACGTACTTGAATAGAAATCCTAGGGATAAAAATAAAAGTTAGCACCAGAGACGTACTCGAATAGAAATCCTGGGGATAAGAATAAAAGTAAGCATCAGAAACGTACTTGAATAGAAATTCTAGAGATAAAAATAAAAGTTAGCACCACAGACGTACTCGAATAGAAATCCTAGGGATAAAAATAAAAGTAAGCATCAGAGACGTACTTGAATAGAAATCCTAAGAATAAAAATAAAAGTTTGCACCAGGGGTGTACTTGTATAGAAATCCTAGGGATAAAAATAAAATTAGGCATCAGAGACGTACTTGAATAGAAATCCTAGGGATAAAAGTAAAAGTAAAAGTTAGCATCAGAGATGTACTTGTATAGAAAACCTAGGGATAAAAATTAATGATAGCACCAGAGACGTACTTGAATAGAAATCCTAGGGATAAAAATAAAAGTTAGCACCAGATACGCACTTGTATAGAAATCCCTAGGATAAAAATAAAAGTTAGCACCAGAGACGTACTTGTATAGATATCCTAGGAATAAAAAATGAAAGTTAGCACCAGAGACGTACTTGTATAGAAATCCTAGGGATAAAAATAAAAGTTAGCACCAGAGACGTACTCGAGTAGAAATCCTAGCGATGAAAATAGAATAAAGTTGGAGAAGTTTTTAAACCACATACATTTCTCTTTGCATTTTCACCAGAATATTACATATATATGTACCACAGAACTGGAATAAAATGTCTGAATACCTCTTGGAGTTTGATATGTGCCCTCTTTTTCTCTCCTTAGTGACGTCAGCAATATGTCAGACCGGATGTTAATGCACATCCCCGTAAAAAATAAAATAATACTTAAAAAACAAATTACATATGTTTCTGTAAGGGTTCTAATGCGTAAGAACATTTTATATATTTAAAACCAGTTCGCTTCCTTTTTATGTGTCATTTACATTGATTAGCCAAAACAAACAGTGGGAATTTTTTGTTCTATTTGGTATAACATACCCAGACAGAATCTTGCCTTCTGGAACCAGTGGTGGATCTGGGTATTGGGTAGGAGTATTCCGGACGTCTGCAGAGCGCCGTTCACTGAACAGAAGAAAACGGCAGCCACAAACGGAAACAAAGGAATAGGTTTACCTCCCTTTATCCTTAGCGGGAAAATGAAAGTCATGAAATCAAGGTAAATTATTATTGAATAAAAAAACATCAGAAGTCAAGCACGATATATAGGTAGTCGACCCCACCTCACCGCCTGTGATTTTCAGAGTTATAGAAATTATATACAGTCGATGTAAACAAAAAAAAAATCAATGGTCAAGCACGATATATAGGTAGTCCTCAACACCTCACCGCCTGCGATTTTCAGAGTTATAAAAATCATGTACAGTCGATGTAGAAAAAAATAAAGTAGGTCACTTTAGAAAACATTGGCGGGTGAATTTGAGACAAGCATATAAAAATGTATTTTCAGATATTCCCCATCCCCCTCCGAAATAGGGTTTTGTAGGTATTGAAAAGTTGTTTGCATTTTTTATATCCTTGTGTCGGATTTTTTGATGCTTTTGTGAAACCCCCTCTCTGAAAAGAAATAAATTTAAATTAAAAAATAGAACACTGAAAATCCCCTGGTTCGCGCATGATTGTACGTAATGTGTATTCGGTACAGTGACGAGTAAACAAATCAATTTAAATTTATTACAAAAGTGAATTGGCAATAAGAAATTCAGGAAAAAGAACTATGCCCCAGTTTTTTTCTGTAGGAACTAGGCGAGCTTTGCAGGCACGAGGTACCCCCACCCGGGACGGATGTACCGACCGTAGGGGGCCGTAGTGAACTGAAACGTGACTAAAATTGAAATCCCCCACAAAACCATCAGACCGGAAACAAACTTCAGTGAAACGGGGGCCAAAAACACTCGGTCAACTTGTTCCAATATTAAGTTCATATTTTACTTCCATTAATTTTATTCTTTGAAAGTAGAGAAAACTATTGAGAGACTTTTTTCTAATCAAGTATGTATTGCGTTAACTAATTCTTATTGCAATTGGTTTAGCTGGTGAGCGAGTCGCATTTTATTAAGATTTTGAGAATAGATGACGTCACCCTTCATCCCGTTGTCCGATTGTTTATTCTGAGATAAGGACTCTTATTCGGTTAGCCAGCGATTCAGGGTGTTATTTCATAACCACAAAGATAAATAAAAACTCTATAGAATTCTGTGATGTTTGTTTTGGTTCTTATTTTTGGGGTACCTGTAAAGTGCAAAACGAAATAGAAACGAAACGAAACGAACTAAAGCGAAACGAAATCTGCCAAATCGAAACGAATTATACCGAAACGAAACGAAACCTATCGAAATCAAACGAAACCTGCCGAAACGAAACGGAAAAAAAAAACTATCAAAATGTTTCGGTTTTTTTTTTTCAAATCAAGATACATGTATATAATTATGTATGTGCAGCTACATGTGGACTTTTTTTTTAATTCAAATAAAATTTATATATATAGTTCAAACACTTGTTAATATAAAATTTTAAATTATTGATAAATTATGCTCCCTTCTCAGTCTAATGATGTATTTACATGTTTTCAAGCTGCAAATATGCACGTGCGAACTATGCATGTATAATTTCAATATGTGCGGTATTTTCCAATTTTTAAATCTAACTCTTATTTTCAGTTCTTATTTATCTAGATACAACATATCAATCAATATGATGTTGTTACATGTAAAGGCTCGTTTATGTACGGGTCGAAATAAAGTCACTGTACTGTTGTATTGTGAATGTCTTAAAACATAGGATAAACCAGCGAGTTAGAGTATTAAGTAATCGATTCGAAGGTGTCTGATTTTAATGGTCAGTTATACATGTACCTACAACCGGAATCTTGTGTATCCTTTCTACGTACATACAGTCCTATCTTTATCGAGGCAATTTTCGAAGATGAAATGAGTGGTTTGCAATAATGAGGCTCCAAAGATATGGATGTTTCTCTCATGCAATCATAAATCAATATAAAAGTGGGGAAACTGAGATCAGCGTCAAAATTGTTAATGAGCGAGAAGGTAGGGAGAGAAAAAAGAAATTGAGAACGATAGAGAAAGAGATCCATGTTATTTCATATGCATTAATACTCATACCAACATCTGAGCTAGTCGAAGGCTCGGGATATACCTCCCTTTTTCCTTTTTTTCCCTTTTTTAATTTCTTGTTGACATACTGTATCCAATTGTATACACTATATTTCCCTTAACCACCTACATTAACCATACTTCAAGGGGGAGCCTTTCGTTGCCACACAAGTTTCTACTGAATCGTTGTTTTAATTTTTATGAGGGGATAATCTAGATTCTACAGATATACCAAAATAGATTACGTAGATTAAATAAAAGAATCATTCAAGAATTTTGTATATGATAAAAAATAATACATTTATAGTTTGTAAAAGTCAGGGTTAGTTGTATATTGTAAATACAAAGTAATATTTAAAACACTAAGATGATTAATAAAATGAAATAAATTTGAAGATCAGTATAGGCCAAGAATACATGAGTACAAGGATAATGCTTGGTTTCTAATTTGTATACTTTCCTTTATGATAGAGAAAAAATCGTGGTTTGTACTGATATATGCAGGCAAAGTTGTTGAATACAAGACGTTTTATTCCATCAATGTACTGGCTTACCTGCTAGGAAATCAAAATTTCATTTTGATTGATTGTATATTGTTTACCGTCCCTCTCGAGAATTTTTAACTCATATGGAGACGTCATCGTATGCCGTTGAAGGGCTTCAAATTTTGACCTTTACTCGGCACTCAGGGCCATTGACCAGTGAGGGATCTTTATCGTGCAAACGCCTGCGGCTGACACGGGGCCTCGGTTTTTAAGGTCTCATCCGAAGGACCCGCAAATTTCACTTCAAAATGCCGAACGCATGGCGAAGGAACAGTTGCTACATGTACCCATTTTAACGACTAGGTCATCGCAGCCGAGATACGAACTCACGACCTCCCGATCACGAAGCGAGCGCTCTACCGACTGAGCTACAGTGAACGGTGATTTCATTATGAAGTCTATCTTTTAATTTTTTAGGTGAAATACGAAGATAACAAACATTAATCAAGTTTAAAAAATACACGTTTGCGACAGAAAACACAATTAAAAAAAAACCCTAAAAATTGGGATAACGTCCTTTGTCTCTGTCCCTTGTTTTATCCCCCTGTCTTCTGCCATATGTGGTCTATAGGAAGATATATATTGACATTACTGTGAGACACTGGTGTAAAACTATAGCATTTCTAAGTTAACGGGAGTTATCATTTTTTTAATAGAGCTTTTATTCGCATTCATTGATACTCTGAATTTTCCGGATTATAGTTTTAATATTTTGCATTAATACACAACATTGACATTTTTCAAATAAATAACGACACTCAGAATTCCCCAACGTTATATAGCAAAGCACAACAAGAAATGACTCTTTTAACAGCTTGATTAGAAATATCGCAGATTCTAGCTGTCAACAAACAAATAAAATTACAATGGTTTTAGTTCCCCCATAATATGGGCGATAGGCATACCTCGTCATACTTCGTCATACCTCGTCATTCTGACAGCATCTTTCATGAAAGTTACAATAATGCTGAATACTTTTTATACTAGGATTCATTTCTCAAACATAGTAACGGTTTCTTTCTACATTGTGAAACTCAAAAAATTATTCGGAATATGATTGGCGTCATGAAATATATCTAATTGTACAAAGCAATTATAAGTTTAATGATATGTTGTAAACTTATCTGCGCAATCCATTTCAGTGATCAATTGAAATTATTGGTTAATTGTTTTATTGTATATATGAGTTTTCTCCATCTAGCATTAAACACGGTAGGGTTGCACTCAAGTATCTTGTGATGTTGAAGTATTAGGACATTCGGAAATAAAATCTACAATCATCTATAAAACAGGAGAACCGTGCTTGAAGTGTATTAGCGGCAAAAGAGAGTTAGGTAAAATGCCACAAAGGACGTACGAAAGTACATCTGACTTTTTTATGCTTACAGTGAGTTCATGGTATATTTGAATTTACAAAGTGAACATTTCACCCAAAGAAAACCAGAGGAGGAAATGAAATAGCTGGTAGGAAAATTTATTTTATTACATATTACGTATTTTCTTGAAAAGATTGTTGATCCTGCATTATTGTACACGATCTTAAACTGAAATGTCTGTAATGTTATGGTTGACACAAGTGTACATGTTGTAGACAACAACCCCTCTACTTTCCACACTTACAGGAATCTTAATTATTCCTATGAATTTTGATTTCATACAATGTTGTAACATTTCTAATAACTCTATGGAATTCAATTCCAGATTTTGGATCATGCATTTGAAAAGTTTTGTCTGCTTACATTTGGCATCAGTTATGCTTTTCCAAACATAGAATTTTTTTTCTAAATTTAACAAAGGAAGCTGATAAAGTAGGCTTTTAATTTTTTTATTTAAAAAAAAAAAACCTTTCAAGTCATTTTTTGTTAGTCAGAAGGTAGTTTTTTTTTTTTTTTTTATTTAATGTTTGTACACCTGATTTAAATAAGACCATCTTAACAAAAAATATTTGTTTGCCTCTCCCGACCTACTTCCGAAACATGCTAAAGATAATCCGACTCAGCACCGGAAGAAACGGTAATTGTTATCTTCCTTTTTTATCCAATCAACAAGAATGTTGAAATTTCCAGAATAAGAATTCCTACCTACTTAATTCTGCCGATCGCCATTTTTATCCCGAGTTTGAAGAGGCCAAGAAAACATTGATTAAATGAAGGCCTGATAAATCTTTGTAGCTATAGATATCAATTCATCGTCACATTTGAATCTAAGACCCTTTACTTGGATGTCATCAAATTTTCTTTTGCTTTTTCTTCCACAAATACACATGCCGTTAATTAATTGACTGTTGAAAGTCTTTTATTAAAAATGCCCCTCAAATTTACATAAAATGATTGATTAAATGTATGTTGTTTTACGCCCCTTTCGAGAACTTTCACTCATGTGGAGACGCCACAACTTGGTCTGGTCGTGAATAAACCAACGAAGTACATAGTTATGATGAGCAGGAGAATGCCTCTACCAAAATTGTAGATTTTATGGCCCTAGGGTCAGGA